ATGTCAATAGGCTTGGAATGAATTTTTCTGTATGAAACTGTGTGTTTTGACAATGAAGAGGAGATCTTTTTTAAACATTGGAACCTAATTTAATTTTATCTCTTAGAGAGTTTATAATGAGTATAAGATTTTATAAGTGTAATAATTCATCTGTAAACCTAGAAATGTACAGCCAATTTTGAAAGAGATGTACCCTAGCTCAGAAAAATGTTATTTAATAGGTTAATGCTGTTGTAATGAAATGCTTCTTCTAATTAGAAAAAATTATATTTTATTAAAAAAATGTAGGAAACAGCATATCTTAAAAAAAAACAAAAGAAAAGAATTAGTCATAACAAAATCAGAAAAAGCATATACCTTTAAAAATCTTACCACAAAGTTTAACATCTTTTCAGCAATCTTTTTTTTAATTAAAAAATTTTATTTATTTTATTGTCTTTTTTTGAAATAGCTGGCCTGGAACTCACTATGTAGACCAGGCTGGCCTTGAACTCACAGAGATCTGCCAGCCTCTGCCTTCCTAGGGCTGGAACTACAGGCATGTGCCACCACACCCGGCTTATTTTGGTTTTATGTGTATGCATGTATTGCCTGCATGTAAATGCACCCGTGTCGTGCAATGCCCACAGAGGACAGAAGAGGCCCTCGGATCCCCTGGAACTGGAGTTACAGACAGGACAATTGTTAGTTGCCATGTGGGTGCTGGGTTCAAACTTGGGTCTTCTGGGAGAAGTCAGTGTTCTTAACCACTGAGCCATCACTCCAGGCTTTTTCAGCAATCTTAATTTGAGATATTTGCTAAGGAGCAATTTGAGGCTAGACTCCCAAATGGAAAGAGGAAGAACTTGGAAGCAGTCTATTCTTTTTTTTTTTTTTTTTTTTTTAAAAAAAAAAAAGACACTGTATCTTTTTCTTTTGATAATCTTTGTTTGTTTTTTGTTTTTATCTTTTTGAAACAGGGTTTCCCTGTAGCCCCAGCTGGCCTAGAACTCACTATGTAGACCAGACTGGCCTTGAACTCACAGAGATCTGCCTGCCTCTGCCTCCCAAGTGCTGGGACTTACATGTGTGTGCCGGAAGCAGTCTATTCTAAACAAGAGCTGTCAGCCTTTCTTGAGCCACTTGCTGGAACCATGCACAGCCTATCAGCAGACGTTGGATTCAGCATTAACCAATCTGGGTTCTTCTAAGATCCTAGTCCTAAATTCCTAGCCCATTTATTATTAACTGCACCTACTGTATGCATTCTTAGCCATGTGTCAGTTAATTCAGTGCCCTTAATAAGTAGCATGAAAAGCCAGGTGTGGTGGCATAAGCCTTTAATCCCAGCACTTGGGAGGCAGAGGCAGGTGAATCTGTGAGTTTGAGGCCAGCTTGGTCTACATAGTGAGTTCCAGGCCTGCTGGGATTACAGGAAGACCCTGTCTCCAAAAAAAGTAGATGCCATTTAACACCTCCTCTCTTTCTCCACCTATACAGAACTTCACATATTGCAAGTCCCTCTAGGAATCTGATGTCTCCCTCCACCCACAGTGCTAGCTTTAGACACTGCCAACTGCACCCAGCTTTTATGTTGGTGATGGGGATTCAAATTCAGGTCCTCATGCTTGCTCAATAAACCCTCCCCAGTCTCAGATACATTTCCCTCATAGATAATCTGGCACAGTGTCACCTCTAGTCAAAGGGCAACAGAATTGAATGTTAAGTAAATACTTTACTTCACATGTTGCTGATAGGGTAGAAATGTTGATAAAATACTAAGATGACCCAAAAGAAGGACAGAACTGTTCAACTATGGATGTTCTACTGAGAAGAAAGGAAATTTGTCACAAAATGCACAAAAATGTCACCCATATAAGGAGCAGGCTGTTCACATATAATTGTGTAAAACATCATATTAATTTTGAAAGCAATGATTAATTACACAGTTAAGTTGTTTAAAATGTATTATAAGGGCTGGGGCTAGAGAGATGGCTCAGCGGTTAAGAGCACTGGCTGCTCTTCCAGAGGACCAGGATTTGAGTCCCAGCACCCACAAGGCAGCTAACAACCATCCATAACTCCAGTTCATCTGATGCCCTCTTCTGACCTCTGCAGACATGGGTGCACTCACATACATACAGACAATACACTCATACACATAAAATAAAAATAAATAAGGAAAAAATAAAATGTATTATAAGAGAAAAGAATGGTGTACAGTATGTATTTACATGTTTCAATCATATTTTCATGTTTTGTTTCTTCTCTCCAGCCCAATGGTTTTATATTTTATTTTGGAAATTGAAAACAATTATTCTTTTAGAATTTTATTACTTTCATTTATTTCTAAAAACATTGCTTTTCCCTAACTTTTAAATTAGTCGAGGTTTTGGGGGTTTTTTTTGTGCCCAGCTTTAAGTTAGTCGTTTTTAAAAAGGAAATTTATATGTGTTATAGAACTAGATTTGGAAGTGATGTCACAGATGGAACAAAGCTTTGACAGCAGTGAAAGTAACCAGCCACAGGTGTGCCAAGATTTTAGTATAAATTTTTTGTAGATACTGTTTTCTTCACTCTATTAATGTGCTATATTCCAAATGGCTTTCATAATAGCCATTGAAGAATCAATTTTCATATTACATAGATTATTTATTTATTTATTTATTTATTTTTTGAGACAGGGTCTCCCTGTAGCCCCAGCTGTCCTGGAACTCACTATGTAGACCAGGCTGGCCTTGAATTCACAGAGATCCGCCTGCCTCTGCCTCCCTAGTGCTGGGATTAAAGACGTGCGCAACCACACCCAGCAAGATAATTTATTTTTAAAACATTTGGGGCTGGAGAGATGGCTCAGTGGTTAAGAACACTGACTACTCTTGCAGAGGACCTGGATTTGATTCCCAGCTAACAACTGTGGCAGCTAACAACTGTCTGAAACCCCAACTCCAGGGGATCTGACACCCTCTTCTGACCTCCACAGGCATTGCACAACACAGGTACTCTTACACACATGCAAGTAATATACTCAAACACATAAAATAAAAATAATAAAATATTTAAAACATTTAACTAGTTATAAAACAAAATATTCTTAGAAGCTATGGTAACTTACAGTTTGTTGATTGAGTCCAAACATTTTTCTAAATATTTTTCACGCCCTTTTGTATGACTTCCTCACATGATACAGACACAATCAACTCTTGAGTTTTATTCCTCTGTCAGCAGTGTGACTGTGGTGGTCACTGTGCTGGATTCGTGAGGAAGGAGATCATTCTCAGTGGCTTAAATTTGCAGTGTCTTATTCGCCATTGCTTGTGGCCAATGTAAATAATGTCTCATGGTCTCTATGTGTTTTCAGCTTCTATACTAATGGAGATGGCTTATAAAAATCACCTCACACCTGCTGGATGAGCACCTTAGATGCAGTCAATGAATCATAACTTTCTACTTTAAGTTTCAATATAGTAAACAGATACATGCTATGAAACTTTTATTAATTAACTTTGTTCTTGGACAGTTTCAAAATGTGTACGCAATGTGTACTGACCACTCTCACCCTCACCTTCTCCCATCTTCTTACCACCTGTCCTTCTCCACTATCACAAACCTCTCAAGTTCTTATCTGTTTTGTGACCTGTGGGAGACAGGCTTGAGCCTAGGGTGAAAGTCTTATTGACAGCCATACAGCAGGCCTGAGTCAACGGCCCGACCACTGGAGCCACAAGGAACGCCTTGTGACATTTGCTCCCATTGGCAGATCATGAGACTGATGCCTAGAGCTCTCCACTCCCTAATCACCACCCTTGGAATCCAAAATTACAACACTTAGATATTGCAACAGTCAGGGTCATGTGGTTTCCAGGAATCCAGGCTCTGTAATCTGAAACCCAGTATGCTAATGAGGCATCCTACCCGCTATTCTGTGATGGGCTAATAAGGTAGCCTACTTGCTGTGCTGTGATTGGACCACTACCCCTATATAAGCTTGTGCCTTCCTGCAATAAAGCAGATCTGTGTCACTGGACCTGGTCTCCTGTGTCTGAATGTGGCCATGCTGGCACAGACTCCTCACCAGCCCTGGGGTCCATACCAGACAACTGATCAGAGGAACTAAGAGAGCAAGAGAGCGGCTGTAGCTGGAGGAGAGCAGCCACAGGCAGCAACCACAGTTACCCACTGAGTTTAGCCATCTGTGTGACTATAGGTTTGGAGGTATCTGTCAGAGCCTGGTGGGCTCAGCAGTGGACACATAGCTAGAGATAATGACTCCCCCTCTCCCAGAACCTATCAGTAGCCAATAGTTCAGGAGTAATAGGTAGGGCCCTGTGAGTCTCTCCCCATTCCATGACTGATTGTTGACAGGGCCAGTCTTGAGTGGGCCCCAGTGTAGGTAATCACAGTTGCGAGTTAATGGTTGCAATTGTTGCAGTGAGTCTAGGGATTGCACAGCTCTTCACTCTATCTTCCAGCTCTTATGTTCTTTCCACCCCCTCTTCTACAATGTTCCCTGAGTCATGCAGAGTGGTCTAAATGTCTTATTTAGGGCTGAGCATTGGCCAGTCATGAGTCTCTGTATTTACCTCCATTACTGAAAAGAGGCTTCTCTGAGTAAGTCTGAGAGTAGTTTTTGTCTGTGGGGGTAACCACACACACACACTAGAAGGCAGTTTGATGATATGTTACCTATGTGACTGTTAGAGTATATTAAACCTTAACACACATAGCCCACATAGATGTAAAACTTATGTTGCTATGTCATTTAAATTAAAACTTAGAAGTTATTTTTATATGATTAGTATTAAGTGTCTTAACTATTAATAATTTATAGTTTTCAGTTTGGCTCTTAGTAATTTAAATCTTCCCAGTTATTCATCTTCAGATAAAGGACTGAAGTTCACTGGCATGGCTCAGTGAGATCTAGTGAGGTCACATATTTTTATATAAGGACACATTTGTAACATTAAAAATCATGTAAGTCATCTTTGATAAATTAACATGTAATGAATTTATTAATTTAAAACATCATGAATTATTTTCTCCTAATAACAGTGATTAACTTAACCATTCTAGGTCATGTTTTAATCCTCTTCTTGGTTAACATAAATCTTTTTTTAAAATTACTGTCCAGTGATTTCTGATATCTAAGCATATATTAAGAAATTTAACTATGGAGCTGGAGAGATAGCTCAGTAGTAAAGAGCATTTGCTATTCATGCAGAGGTCAATTCCCAACACCCACATCAGGTAGCTCACAATCACCTCTAGCTCCAGGGGATCCAATGCCCTCTTCTGGCCTCTGCAAGCATCTGCATGCATGTGGCACACATACATACAACACAGGCATATACATATAAGTGTAAAATAAAAATACATATTCAAAAAATTTAAAGAACTTTAACTATAAAATATGGATTTATTTGTAATTATTTTTCTTATCCATGCCCTGTGACTCCTGAAGGATAAAGTCATCCTAATGACACACACGTAAACACAAGAAGCATCTGCAGGTCAAACCATGCAACTCCATCCTCCATCTGGGAAGGAAACCATGCAACTCCATCCTCCATCTGGGAAGAAAATCATGCAACTCCAGCCTCCATCTGGGAAGGAAATCATGGAACTCCAGCCTCCATCTGGGAAGGAAACAATGAAACTTTATCTTCTATCTAAGAAAACCATGCAACTCCGTCCTCCACCTTTGCATCTGGAAGAAATGTCTGAAGAAATGGAAATAAATAAGAGCTATGATGGAGGACATGCATCTGCACATCCAGAACTTCCTTCAGTGAAGCAGCATGAGGAAGAGCTTCCCAGTGAAGATGTGCTAGAGAGTGCACACAAGAAGGAACTCAGTAGCAAGTTAAGGCAGACAGCTGATGATGTGTTTGAAAATGTTTGTCCTGAGGAAGAACCACTACTGGATAACTCTATAGGAAGAACTCACTTCATGGTAATTACCTGTAACTTGGCAAATAGTATGTTTGATGTGAGGACAAAGTGTATCTGGTGCTTGTCTGTGGTATTGTGGACATCTCTCAAACTCAGAAAAAAGATAAACTGAAACTTTTTTTCTATCTCCATCCTCTCGGTCTGAGGGATCCTCTTGCCAGTCATCCTGTAAGTTTTTCTTAGTGATGATAAACAAATACTGAGCATACTTTGACACAAATGAGGGTGATACTTGTAATTCAGTAGATGAGAATGCAAAGTCTCCAGGAGTGCTAGAGTGGGAATGTAAGGAACTAATAGGCTTAATATCAGCACAATTAAAGTAGGAACCAAAATACTTACTGGAAATTATATAACAGACAGGACTTAAGTCTAGTCAACCAAAATGGCAGTGGCTTACATATGCCAAAAAAGTTAATCATATGACTGAAATTTTAGAAAAACAGTGGGGGCAGGAGAAATGACTCAGTGGTTAAAAGTGGTGGCTAGTCTTACAGAATACCTAGTTCTGTTCCCACTACCCTCACATGGCTGCTAACAACCATCTGTAAATCTAGTTCCAGGGAATCTGATGCCCTCTTATGGCCTCCATGGGCACTGCAGGCACTTGGTGCTCTTACATACATGTGGGCAAGACATGCATACATATCAAATAAAAATGAAAACAAAACAAAACTGAACTAAAAAGCACAATGAGCCACCCATGGTGGTGCACACCTTTAATCCCAGCACTCAGAGGCAGAGGCAGGCAGATCTCTGTGAGTTTGAGGCAAGCCTGGTCTACATAGGGAATTCCAGGCCAGCTGGGGCTACAAGGAGACCCTGTCTCAAAACAAACAACAAAAAGTAAACCATTTTAGTGGCTAAAGACATTTAAATAAAATACAAATAATTCAGGACTTACCTGACAGCTGCCCTGCTGGTAAGTATAAAACCTGGAGCCTGAGTTAGAAAAGGTCAGTCTCCTAGCAATTGGGAATCAGAGGCAGGCAAATCTCTGTGAGATGGAGTCCAGCCTGGTCTACATAGTGAGTTCCAGGCAAGCTGGGGCTGCAGGGAGACCCTGTCTCAAAAAGACAAAAAAAAAAAAAGAGGAAAAAAATAGAAAATGTCAGTAGTTCTTCACCACCTCAAAAGTCTAAGAATGACAGCAAGACTAGCTGAAGTTTAATTTGAGATAGGCATTTTAAAGGTAGAATTCTTGAGAGGAGGGGTTCAGACCTCCACCTGGGGTAGTAGCTCAGAGCTCAGCAGACCGCCAGAGAGTGCTGGGTTCTGGCCTCCAACTACCAGAGGGCCTGAGAACCCAGGGGACTGCCTGACAGCCCCCAGATCCTGCCTCCCCAAGGTGGAGAGCTTCCCCTAATTGCACCATACCATCCCTCTACCTGGGATTTTGTGAGGCCCCTCCCAAGGCCCCAGGGCAGATCTGGCTTTGGTATTCTAAGGCTGAGATCCTAGCAGACAGCCTGAGAGGGTGGATTCAAACCTCCATCAGTGTAGTGGCTGGGATCTCAGCAGACGCAAGAGAGTGCTGAGTTCTGGCCCCCCTCTGACCTCCCTTTGGCATAGGATTGACAAGGCAGGGCACTGCCTGAGAGAGTCTGGATCCTGCCTCCACATGGTGAAGGAAGACTGAGTGTACCTGTCTGGAACATGAACTGGGCTTCTGTAGGTACTCCTGAATAGCTGATCTGAAGCCATCAGTTCCCTCCCAATTAAACCTGAGAAAACCTGAACCCTGTACCAACCAGCTTTACATAAGCAATAAAGAAAGGATCTAGGCACCTGGATAATACTAACAGAAGCATACTTCAACTTAATTCTCATATCAAAATCATAAACAACAAAAGAAATTCACATGCCAAAACCACAAATAAAATAGAAAGCCAAAACACTATGTCCCAGCAAAGCCCGCCAATCCTGTAGAAGAGTTCTACAAGGAGAATCCCCTAGAGATAACCCAGGACACTGAATCTACAACTACAATCATAAACATGATCAAGGAATTCAACGAATTGAAAGAACACACAAACAAACAAATCCAAGAGCTAAAAGAAGATAGAGATAAAGTTCTGAATGAATTCACAAAAGAGACAGAAACACTGAAGAAAACTCAGGCAGAAATGAAGAAGGAAGTGAAAAATTCAATAAGCAAACTTGAAACAGGGGAAAGCCTCACCTCTAGAATGAATGAAATGGAAAAAAGAATGAAATGGAAAACACAGGAGGATAAAGTTGAAGAATTGGACCACTCAAGCAAAAAGTATGGAAAATTTAAAAAAACACAGGAATGGAATATGCAAGAGATGTGGGACACCATGAAAAGACCAAATCTACAAATCATAGGAATAGAGGAAGGAGAAGAATTTCAGGTAAATGGTGTTGACCAGAGCTTAAACAGGATTTTAGAAGAGAATTTCCTGCAATTAAGGACAGACATCCCCATACAAATACAGGAAGCACATAGAACACCAAATAGACAAGATCAGAAAAGAAACTCCCCACAACATATCATAGCAAAAACACTAAATGTACAGAACAAAGAGAATACTGAAAGCTGCAAAAGAAAAACAAGTCACAAACAAAGGAAAGCCTATCAGAATTACATCTGACTTATCAATGCAAACTATGAGAGCCAGAAGAGCCTGGACCAAGGTATTTCCAGTTCTACATGACAATAGATGCCAGCCCAGAATACTATACCCAGCAAAAATGTCTATTATAGTTGAGGGGGAAAGAAAAATCTTCCATGACACAAATAGCCTGAAAGAATACTTGTCCACAAAACCAGTCTCCTTCAAAGAATACTTGAAGCAATACAGAGAGCCGAGAGAAACAACTATACCCTAGGGGCAATGAAAGAAAATAAAGATATCATCTAGGAAACACAAAATTACACAGAACACAAACAGCAACTAATACACACCAAACACACCTTTCAATAATAACCTTAAATATCAATGGACTGAACTCCCCCATCCAAAGACACAGGCTAAGTGAATGTATTAAGAAACAAAATTCATCTCTTTGCTGTCTGCAAGAAACCCATCTCACCTTCAAGGACAGCACTACCTTAAGGTAAAAGGATGGAAAACACTATTCCAAGCAAATGGCACTAAGAAATAAGCAGGGGTTACAATTCTAATATCTGACAAAATAGTCTTCAAAGTAAACTACTCAGAAGAGATAAGGAGGGTCACTTCATTCTGATCAAAGGAAGAGTTGACTAAGAAGATATTACAATCCTTAACATATATGCACCAAATTCTGGTGCACCCAAAGTCATAAAAAAAAACACTACAGGACTTTAAGACACAGATTAACCCCAACTCAGTAACAGTAGGGGACTTCAATACCCCACTGTCTCCATTAGACAGGTCAACTGAACAAAGAATAAACAGAGAGATGTCTGAATTAAATGATACCATACATCAAATGGACCTAACAGACATCTTTCAATTATTCCACCCTGTGGGAGGCAGGCTTGAATCTAGGGTGAAAATCTTATTGACGGCCATACAGCAGGCCTGAGGCAAGGGCCTGACCGCTGGAGCCAAAAGGAATGCCTTGTGACATTTGCTCTCATTGGCAAATCATGAGACTGATGCCTAGAGCTCACCACTCCCTAATCACCACCCTTGGAATCCAAATTGCAACACTTAGATATTGCAACAGTCAGGGTCATGTGGTTTCCAGGAATCCAGGCTCTGTAATCTGAAACCCAGTATGCTAATGAGGCATCCTACATGCTCTTCTGTGATAGGATGCTAAACCTGTTATGCTAATGAGGTAGCCTACTTGCTGTGCTGCGATTGGACCACTACCCCTATATAAGCTTGTGCCTTTCTGCAATAAGGCAGATCTGTGTCACTGAACCTGGTCTCCTGCATCTGAATGCGGCGACGCTGGTGCAGACTCCTCACCAGCCCTGGGGTCCAGACCGGACAACTGATCGGAGGAACTAAGAGAGCAGGAGAGTGGCCATAGTTGGAGGAGAGCAGCCCCAGCTGGCGACCACATCACCCAAACACCAAAGAATACACTTTCTACTCAGCACCTCATGGAACTTTTTCAAAAATTGACCACATACTGGGCCACAAAACAAACCTCAATAAATACAAAAATATTGAAATAATTCCATGCATTCTTTTGGACCACAAAGCAATAAAGCTCAAAATAAACACTGGACAAAGCCCTAGTCACTACATGAGCTTGTGGTGATTGAACAACACACTCCTAAAGAATGAGTGGGTCAAAGGAGAAATTAAGAAATAAAAGAATTCCTGGAATTCAATGAAAAGGACAATACAACACAACACAACCTCTGGGACACATTAAAAGCAGTCCTAAGGGGAAGTTTATAGATCTAAGTGCCCAGGCCCAGATGGATTTACAGTAGAATTCTACCAGACATTTAAAGAAGACCTCCAACCAATACTATTTAAATTATTCAAAATGATAGAAACAGAGGGAGAACTCCCAAATTCGTTCTATGAAACTAGGATCACTCTAATACCCAAAACAGGTGAAGACACAACCAAAAAAGGAAACTATAGACCCATATCCTTAATGAACATAGATGCAAAAATTCTCAACAAAATACTTGTAAACCGCATACAGACCCATATCAAAAGATCATTCTCCATGATTAAGTAGGCTTTATCCCAGAGATTCAGGGATGGTTCAATATATGCAAGACAATAAACATCATTAATCATATAAATGGACTTAAAGACAAAAACCACATTGTCATTTCAATAGATGCAGAAAAGGCTTTTGACAAATTCAGCTTGTGTTCATGTTCAAAGCCCTAGAGGGAATTGGACTGGAGGGAACATACCTCAACATAATTAAAGCTATATACAACAAACCCACAGCCAATATCAACCTAAATGGAGAAAAACTGGAACCATTCCCATTAAAATCAGGAACCAGACAAGGATGTCCACTATCTCTCCTCCTTTTCAACATAGTGCTTGAAACTCTTGCTAGAGCAAT